ATGGATTCCACAAGACTCCGACTTCATCAAAGTAATGGAATGGCAAAAGGATAATTTTCCAGCGCAGTTTCGATTACAAATGGCACTCTATGAAGCAGAAAATGTGTTGGATAAAGATGTCCTTCTAGAGATGCTAAGGGTCCACGAAGCTGTCGTGAACACATCAACAGAAGATGCAACATGGCAGTCCGTGTGTGCCAAGATGCCAACTATAACTGAAAATTGGTTTGGCAGAAAGAGAAAGAGGAGGAGCCTCAAGAAGGAAAATATTTCGGGTATTGAAACTGGTCCTTTACTATTGTCAAGAGCAAAAAGAGAAGACAATAGTTTGTTTGACTGGAGTACATTTTTGGGTAGAGATACTTATTGTGGTTTTCTTGACAGCATACCTCTTGAATGCATGGAACACAGCATTCTCGAAGTCTGGGGATATGATCATGATTTAATAAGTGATCTTACCCAGGAGGAGATAATATATGATGTGAACACTGTAGACACAAGTGCTGTGTTTGGTTTTCCTGTCAATTTCTCTCATTACCTTGGAGGAGTAGAGTTTGATGACTCAGGTCGGATTATCAAGGCAACAGCTTCTAGGCAGACCTGGATCACAGAAGTTAACATGACTGCTATAGAAGCTGGAGATTTTGTAGATGATACAGGAACTGGTACAGAGGTGGATAGTAGAAGCTTCCAGTGGGAGAAGGAACTGGTAAAGGTTGTTTTGGATGAAACAGAAAGACCAAAGAATATATCTTTGTACTTTATGGCATCGGCAAGTTTTGGAATGATTGCTGGAGATACAATCGTAGGAGATATACAGTACTTAGCTGTTGGCTTTGGTGTAGTCTTTATCTATGTTCAAATAATGCTTGGGAAATTTAACTTAGTGGAACAGAGACCTTTACTCTCTTTAATGGGTCTAAATTGTGTAGGAATGTCTGTGTTTATGTCCTATGGCATTTGTTCAGCATTTGATGTCCCATTTGGTCCAGTTAATAATGTTCTGCCCTTCCTTCTTCTTGGCCTTGGAATTGATGATATGTTTGTCATCATGCAAGCTTGGAATAATCTCACACCAAAGGAGAAGAAAAAAGATTTAGCAGAGAGAATAGGTCTTGCTCTCAAACATGCTGGTGTTTCCATCACAGTTACATCAGTAACTGATTTTGCAGCATTTGCCATTGGCAGTGGGACTGTTTTACCAGCACTTAGATCTTTCTGTATTTTTGCCGCAGTAGGTATTGCTGCTGTCTATTTTTTTCAGGCTACATTTTTTGTTGCCTGGTTTTCTCTTGATCAGAAGCGATTGGAAGACAATCGACATGGGCTTATCTGGTGCTGGAAATTGCAGAATTGGACTCCTAATAAGTGCAGTCAAAGGGATCTCTGTCAGACATTCTTTAGTAATGTATATGCCAAGTACCTCTTGAAGCTGCCTTGTAAGGTGTTGGTACTGGTTGTAACTCTTGCCCTTTTGGCAGTTTCTGGATGGGGGCTCTCAAACTTGCGCCAGGAGTTTAACCCAGTTTGGTTCCTTCCGCAGAATTCTTATCTCTTCAAGTTTTTAATGAAGCAGGAGCATTACTACCCAGCTTCAGGTGAACGAGGTACAATATACTTTGGTCATATGAACTACTTGGAAGAACTGCCCAAAATTGATAAATTAATGATTGCAATGGAGGAGAATGAAGACATTAGTGAAATAGACAGTTGGTATTTGAGTTATAAGAAATACTGGGAAAAGCAAGGGTATGAAGTGCCAGACCCAGAAGAAACCCAAGAAGAATTTTTAGATCAGTTGTCATTGTTTCTACATTCCCCAAGTGGATCAAAATATCGAGCAAAGAACTTCAATTTTGATGGCGAAGTGAACTGTACTGATCCAGCGCCACCTATTTTAGCTTCAAGCATAGACTTCAAGCACCGACCACTGTCTCTCTCTCGAGAAAAGATCAAAGCCATGGATGATTTGAAGGCTATTGTTAAAGAGATGAATTTCAGTGGATTTGCAGAACCATATTCAAGAATTTACAGTGGATGGGAAACTGACAAAATTATTGAGAAAGAGCTGTACCAGAATATGGGACTTGCTATGGCTGTAGTGTTTCTGGTGACACTTATTCTAATTGCCAACTTTGTAACTAGTGTGATGGTGCTTCTTTGTGTGATAATGACATTGATTGACGTAGGAGCATTAATGCATTGGTGGGGCCTCACTATTGACACAGTGTCTTGTATTGACATTGTGTTAGCAATTGGTCTATGTGTAGACTATGCTGCACATATCGGCCATACATTTATGACTCAGACTGGCACAAGGGACGAACGAGCTAGACTCACTGTAGCCAAAATTGGACCAGCTGTTCTGAATGGAGGCTTCAGCACTTTCCTGGCATTTGTATTCTTGGCAAACTCAGATTCTCATGTTTTCATGACATTTTTCAAGGTAAATTTCAAGTTAATCTTTTAAATTAAATATATTCTTGTTAATTTTCTGCAAGCTACTTTCAGTAAAATGATATATTCTTGTAATATTGTCAATGATTTTACTATACTTGATTGATAGGATTACTTTTTTTGATATTTCTTGTTTTTATTAGTTCATGATTATATTTTTACTTGCAGATATTTTTCGCGGTTGTTTTGTATGGACTCCTTCATGGTCTCGTATTTTTGCCTGTTTTATTATCCCTCATTGGGCCAGCTTCCTATCCCAAAGAAAAAGAGGATGATGAACAGGCAGATGGTGAAGATTCATGTCCATTCACCCCCCAGAAGAAAGCTGATGAACAAAACGAAGAGCCAGACCATTGCACTAATTTGTTAGAAAATGATACAGATCTGAAGAATGACCCAAAGAGTGGTAAGTGCAAAGAAACAGTAAGTCTAAGAATGTCAGAGAACAGCAATGACAAAAGTAGTCTGTGTGTGGGGGAGCCAAGTGTACAAATAGTGAGTAGTCGTACTTAGTGTGGTCTTTTCTTCTTGCTATTGTTATTACTGCAGATAGCTTCTGTTCAGTCTTTATTCTTTCTTTGACAAGATAATTTTACCTTTGCCTGTTTTTTTTTCCTTTCTTTCTTTCTTTTCTTTTCTTTTTTTATATCATTTACTTGTAACTTTCTGAATTTCTCAGAAGAAACCAATAGATTATTTTTATAGATCTGTTTGCTCAGTCAAAAATTTGCCAATGCTTTGGTTTGGCCAATGATTATTATATTTGATAAATAATAGCTCATCAGTATCTTCATGAAATTGTATGTAATTACAAAATTACTTTTATGCTTTCTTTTGTGTTCTGTTCTGTAAGTGATATGGCAATTATGCTATGCATTCATGGGTCTTGGTGCATGTATTTTGCCTTCTTCCCTTCCTGTTATGTTGACATGAGCATTTTATAATGGTAAAGTAATATGATCCATGCTTAAAAAGCATTTTGCTGAGCTTTATGTACATAGCCTTTTTTTTATATTTTGAAATCTAATTTTTTTTTTCCTAGCCACTTGGTATTGTAAACATTGAGAACTTAACCCACCAATGCCAGATATACGTACTGTACAATATAGTTTTGTTTATACATAGACGGCCCAACAAATGCTCAGGCAAGAAGCCTATGTAGCCTTACCTATTTCTCCATTCCCTGAATTTTCAAATATATATATATAGATTTTTTTCTTTTAATGGTATCAATATCAGTACTGTCATTATGATCATCATTAACTTTATAATCATTATATTGTCATCAAAATACTATGAGCAATAGAACTTTAAACATGTTTCCAAAAACCAAGAAAAGAGAAACCAGGTGAGATATTGAGATTGGTAATGGACTCCATGGTGACTCAGCATTTGTGAAGCCATCTGTATGGAAACACAATAAAGATACTTAATTCATAGTGGACATGGCCCATACATAGATGCCATCCCTGGTAGCAGTGAATTTAGGCTGAGTTAGTAGTTTGTTTGGAAAGTGATGTTTTTTTCCATTTTGATGTAAATTGCCTAGTGGTTAGAATCATTTTGTCTTTAAATGTAGAAAGCACTTTATGTTGCCAAACAATAAATGTGAGAAATCCAAAAACTAACCAATTCTGCAGGAGAAAATTAAAAGTTAGGGAATGATGTGGTAAATATTCATTCTGAGTTGAGTGATAGATACAGATCTGAAGTAAGATCTGCCTTAATTGTTTCTTCATGCTGTTGAATCAAGTGTTTAGTCTAAAACTTCTTTGATTTTGTTTGTAGTGAAGAATATCCTGTTTATGTCACAGGGACATACTTTGCAGACTAGGAATTTTGAATTTACAGCATTAATACTGCTAGACTTTTTAGCAACTTTTTTAGTAGTCCAGTCTTTGCCCCAGAAGGCAGTCATTTTAGGTATAGATATGAGAATATGAAAAATATGGGTACATGCATAGATTCCTTTTTTTGTTGTTGTTTTATATGTGTGTGTGTGTGTGTGTGTGTGTGTGTGTGTGTGTGTGTGTGTGTGTGTGTGTGTGTGTGTGTGTGTGTGTGTGTGTGTGTGTGTGTTTGAAGTTTTATCATTGAAATTCATATTTGAAAGAAATTTATATTCAGTCATATGAGATTTTTGAGTAAGCCTTTAAGGGGACTGTTTGCCTTGCATATTGCCAAAAGTGCAAAAGTTGGGAAATGTATACTTATTTTTTCTCTCTTTTTTCTTTTCTTTCTTTGATAACCTGTTTTTAAGTTTATAGAAAAAAAATATTGTCCAACTGATTTTATTTATTTTTAGAAAATTATATATATAGTATTGATATATGTTTTAACTCCTTCTTTAGAGTTGAATCTCCTGGATGTGTGGTTTATAGGCCCAACCTCCATGAACCCTCTTGTTGTGTCAAGATTTCTTACCTCCCCCTTGTAGTGTTATCCTTTTTTCTTCATAAGTGTTTTTTTTTTTTTTTTTGCCATATTCCAATATCTTTCCTTGTACAGACTCATTAGTGTCTCTCTAAGTAGTCTCTAAATCAGTCCAATAAAATTTATCAATAGATAATTTTTTTTTCCTTCTCTTTTCTTTTTTTCCTTTTTTGGGGGGGTTTCCTTCTTGGAGCTGGTGCTTTTCTGGTCATGGCTCACAGATGGCACATTTCACACTCATTTACCAGTGGAACTAATACAAGAACCCCTTCCTAAATGCCCACTAAGTCCTTCAAGAATTTTTTGCACTTGTTGCCAGTCATTCTCATCACCCGGGGCATCAACCAAATTTTTCATGGCAGCATGTTGCTGTCAGCCAGGCTCTCAGTATGATTTTTCCATGATGGCATATTCCTGTCATCTGGCCCTCAGCCAAATTTTTTTCATGATGTGATGGTCACGTCACCTGGATCTAAGGGGTTGACGTAAGTTATCTTTAGACAGGAAGATCCACTCTCTCTTGATGAAAATCCTTTTTGGCAACTTCTGAGGTTAGCTCATACTCATCACCTGTATTCCTTGCAAATATTATTGTTATTATTATTATTATTTTTTTTCTTGGTTTTGTTTTTGGTCATTTTTTCTATTTTCTATTTTCATGGAAATTGCACTGAAAACACACTGTAAGATATCACACAAATTGTTTGGGTCAAAAAAGGTGGTGGAGCTAATGATGTCACTACACTTAACCAGTGAGCGTTCACCATGAGATATCAGTTATAGCTAGATACACAGTTATTTGTATGATATACTTGATATTGTTATACTTACCAGAAGTTAAGCCAAAATTCCCTTGTTATTCTTGATAAATAAGCCTACCTGACATCACCTTCTTACCCCAATCCTGTAATTTTTAGGAAGAAAAGTTTTCATTTCTAATGCTCTTATTGTAGTTATTAATGTTATTATTATCATTATAGATATTATTATTATGATAATGTTATGAACATTACCAATAGTAGTAATGATAAAAAAGGAAAATTCATGTAGAGTAAACAGGCGAGATCAGGTATGCCAGATAATTGACATCTTGTTGACCAAACACTTGTGAAACCATCTCTCTGTAAATACAAATGATAAATTAGTATCATAGTTAACAGAGCATGTATATATGCCCTCCTATTATCACTGGGTTAACCCATTGCTGCCGGGGAAAATGAACAAAAAATGGGGGAAATGCAGTACTCATTTTTTATATTTTTGTGAAATATCTCTGCCCATAGATGGCTCTGCTAGTCCTGATTTCACCTTTCCTTGAATTGGCAGGAAAAAATGTATTCTTACTAGTGCTATAAATATAGATGGTGTTATTTTTAACAGCAAATTAGGATAACGTTAAATATTTTCGTAAGTCGATGAAAAGGGTGAACGGGCGAGACAGGCAGTACTCGTAATTGGCTCATTGGTGACTTAGTACAAGTGTAGCCATCTATGTGTAAAAACAATCAAACAAGTCGACTCACAGTGGGCATGACATGTACATACATGCCATCCCTGGCGGCAATGGGTTAACATGTGTATTCCGGGCACCCACAGAGGATTGGGCAAGAACAGTAATAAACCCAGCTCTTCTTACCCATTTTTTCCCAACTTTCACTTCTTTGAATAATAGGTCAATGTAGACCATTTACTTATGATAATAACATGTTCATTAGTCACCATTATTCCTTTCTTTTTAACTGTATATGTGTTACTTCCCAACTAAAGAATTCTCCAAGAACTGCATTACAATCTCATATCCTTATTCTATCTCAGAAACTATGACCAGAAAGTTACACAAAAGAGGGCAGGTGGAGCTTTAAAAAATCTTTCTCTATTTCTCAAATTACAAAAAAAAAGAGATAAGAGTTGTATAAACAAAAATAAAATGGCATTGATTGGAAAGGTCTTGCTAAAAAAAAAAATCAGTGAGAAATAAAGTAAAATTTGCGATGGAACTCGGACAGTCCCCTTAAATGTATGCTTGTTTTGTTGTATTCTTGTAGCGTGCCAAATGATATTCAGTATCTCTCTATATTTTTTTTTCTTGAAAGAAGGAAGCAGAGTCGGAAAATTAGGGGAAAAAAACAGGTTGAGAATATTTAGGAGAGTTTTAGGGAAAGCTTTTAGTATAGTATCCCTCATAAGTATATGAAGATTTTTGTATAATGTGTTTTTGAAGTTCAGGTACTATGGTTTAAAATTGGTATTACATGTAACATATGTATCATATTTTGTATGCTTTTACTAAATTGAACTGATTTCTCTTTCATGCATCCAAACATACAGAAGACAGAGCAGCAGTGCTCCATGTATCAAGTATTTGAATCTCTCATTCTCTCTTTTTCTCTTCTCCTTTGTTATCCCCTCCTCTCCTCTCCACGCACATGTGTGCACACGCTCATGCGCTCTCTCTCTCTCTCTCTCTCTCTCTCTCTCTCTCTCTCTCTCTCTCTCTCTCTCTCTCTCTCTCTCTCTCTCTCTCTCTCTCTCTCACACACACACACACACACACACACACACACACACACACACACACACACACACACACACACACACACACACACACAC